ATATTAAATAGCTCTGTTATTTAACATGAAGCACTTTTTTCTTACAAAAGTACTTATATGTATTTGTATGATCGCTCGCTACCTATATTTACGCTTTCGGTTATACATACATACATACATACATATATATATATATATATAGATAGATGTAGCATCTAACAAATATATATATATATACATATATATATATATATATATATATATATATATATATGTAGATATATATATATATATTATAATATTTTTTAAAAAATATGATTCCTTCGCTACATAAGAGTTCTCAGGTTTCAAAAACGAGAACCGAAATGATCAATATAATAACACACACACACACACACATATATATATATATATATATATATATATATATATTCTAAAATGCACACTCATGCACAGATCATTTTATTTTAGATCCTTGCAGGGTGCCTCGATATCGTAGACTTGCTTCAGACTATGCTAATATTATAGTATTTATATGTATTTGTATATATATATATATATATATAACGATATCACAGACTTGCTTCGGACTATGCTAATATTTACACCTATTTTATATTTCATTGTATAGGGTAATTGGAATGAAAAAATTCTACGTTACGTTTCGTCCGTCGAAAAGACATAATAATGGTTTTATCATTGGAATGTGGTACATGTAGCAATGTGTGAGACGAAATTCTAAAAACACCGTTTACAATTCTACATCGAGAAAAAATCATTTTTAATGATGTATTCCTTACGGGGCGCCTCGATATTGTAGACTGGATTTGGACTATGTTAATATTTGCACCTTTTTATATTTCTTCGTAAAAGGTAATCTGATGTATGAATCTCCGTGTCGTGCTATCGATAAGGAAAAATATCTATATTTATTAATATACAGGGTGAACCAAAAGTAGATGAACAGTAAATAATAACATTTATTTTGTCATTACATACAATTGAATTTTGATAAACAATTACACCCTTGTGTAAATTAATTGAAATAAAACGAATCATTCCGTTATTATTTACTTTTTTCGTATTTTTCCAATAAAGCATGACCCAGTAAACATGTTAAAACTTCGTATGTCCATTCCACGACGTCGTTCCTTGCAGATTGACCACAGATTCTCGACTGGATTTAAATCAGGAGAGTTTTGGGGCCAATCGATAATACTTTTGATTTTCTCACTGATAAGGCTTACCAGTTCGTGCAGCGTTACAATTTTTGCATGCTTCTTTAGAGTAACGTCCATCACAGACAATGGCCGTAAGACAACTAATCGACAGTTGAGACAATAGTGTCTACGCGTGATAAAATCTGATGCAAATGAGCTAATCTGAGGAAAAAAATAGAAATCAATACACCCTGTCACTTCAGTGAATCTAAAACTGACCGTATGCTGAATGAAAGGAAACTAAAGCGGCTGTTTCAATTAATTTGTACAAGGGTGTATTACATATGCAATTAAATTTTATTGTATACAATAATACAATACAAAAGCACTGAAATTTTTTTCAACGCAGTTGCGCAAACTGGGGTCCATCACAATTTACAAGGCTTTGAAGTTTACCTTCCAGGCTTCGACAAACATTTTTGCACAAGCATCTTTGTGTAATAATTTCTTGAAATGCATCTTGGGTGTTATTTTTCAAATCACCTGCACTTCGCGGTTTTCGACTATAAACTTTGTCCTTGAGTACTCCCCAAAAGAAAAAATCTATTGGAATAAAATCTGTTAAACATGAGGACCAATCTATTGGACTTCTTCGGACACTCCATTTCTCGTGAAATGTTTCAAGTTACTCGCGGACTGCGCTTGGAGGGGACCCCATCGTGTTCGAAATAAAGGTCGACCTACTGTCCATCTACTTTTGGTTCACCCTTTATATATATATATATATATATATATATATATATATATGGGAAAAATATAAGATTTCACTATATTAAACATACGCAAATACATGCACACGCACTCATTTTTCGCTTTCGATCTAATGAAGCCGAATCGGCGAAATGCATAGTCGGAAGTTTTTTTCGAAACATTATACTTTCATGAACGTTTTTCCACTTGTCAATATTTATAAGTTTGTAGGGATCATATGACCACACTTATAACATAATATATATATATATATATATATATATATATATATATATATATGACGATTGCGTCCAGCATGAAACAGCTTGTCGCCTCTAAGTGTTGACTTCCATGTTCAATTTTATATTTATATTTATATACGCTCTATCTCTGATATTGAGCACTTTATCCCATAAATACTGCATACCTTAAAACTATATTTCCTCGTATGTATATATATATATATATATATATATATATATATAGAGAGAGAGAGAGAGGATGCGTTGGGTAAATTGTCGCCATTTTATATTTTTAATCCCGCGCCTGTACCGTGATTGTTTTCGATTTTTCTATTGCACAGTATAGTAGGAGAAAAAAGCACTATGACGCAATTCAATCCGCCAGAAATTTGGAAACACCATACTGTACTGCTTGGCATTCGCGCCAGAAGCTCCAATAAGTACATTTCAGAGTGTTTGGGTGTCAACCTGAATACAGTTCAGCGGATTCAGAAAGTGTTGAATGATATATTCAGTGAACATCATGTTGTTTGGAGTGATCACTGGGGATGGCGACGTTACGCCTCCATTCATCTTCTTACAGTGCCTCAGAATCAACACGGAGGCCTATATCTAGTGCCGTGAGAAGATAGTGTTGCATTGAATCAATAGGATGGCTGTTAGAAGAACCTTATGTCTGGCAACAGGACTCTGCACCATGCGACATCGCTGTCAAACAATTTCTGTGACCATATCACCCCTTACATCTAGCCACCTCACTCCCCAGACTGCAGTTTAGGGGGTGACTAACAAACTACTTGTAACACCAAAGATGAACTGAAGGCAAGAATTGTGGCAGCATCCATTAACTTAAACAAGGAGACCGTCCAGAAGAGTTTCAGTAGATTCCGAAGTCGCCTGGAGGCCGTAGTTGAAGCCAATGGCGATTTTATTGAATAAATTTACTTTTTAGTATTTAAAGATATTTTTGTGTAATTTTGGTAAATATATCTTTTAAAATGAGATGTCAGTGTTATTTTCATTTTTGCGTCATTTAGACGACAATTATTCCATCGCACCCTGTAGATAGTGACTAACATCCAACAATATATCATTTTATGCCTCTTGCAACTGTTGATGAAATACAGAAAGAGTTGTAAGTAGACAAGCAGAATGATTCATGTGTAGCCATATCATTTCAAATACATTTTGTGTGAGATAAATCTTGTAGTTATGCTCATCAAAGAAGTTACCAATCAACTGGGTAGCAAAGGAAGGCATGGTGAAAGATTATCTATCCTTCCTGGGAATAGCAGAAGGGCGGGTTAAGCAATGTTCTGGGTGTGCTCATGCCTGTTCAGTGTTCTCTCCAATAGCACCAAAGACGAACAAGAGATGGTTTACTGAACCATGATACCAGACGTTGGACCCGAGTGGTGAGGCCGATACTGTCTGGCAGATATCCATCTTTAGGTCTAGAACAATGATGCAATCGATTATTACTCGCGTTAAAACAGAATCTTGTCTCATTGCTTAACACGAGAAAGCATCATTCTCTTTCGACACCACTCGATCAAGGATTACGGAAAAAAGCGTGAAAATAAAACTTAACAAAGTTGAAAAAAATGTCAAATCGAAAATAAAATAAAAATAAGACCTGGGAGGTAAGAACATTCCTTTAAGTTTTCGTGATCGGGAAATCTTCCTCACGAAAATCCGTTCTATATTGCGATATTTCTGGAAAAAGCAGTCTAAGTGGAACTTCCTCAATACAAATGGAATATGAAAGGAATGAAGATGAGTCTACTCAGTTTAAGTGGTCTGGCGGGTACCGGCTGTCAAGGCCTTGACCGGTGGAATGTAGTTCGTCTGTATATATATATATATTTTTTTATAGTGGGGTGCAAAATAACTCGCATATAGTTATTTCGTAATTCCATATGTAAAATTTTACTTTTTCTTAATTATTGTTCGCCTAAGGTAGAGAGTTACAAAATAAGGTTGTTGTAAAGACGTCCAGGTTGGGAGGAAGAGCTGCAATAGGATATGTAGGTTATATAACATTTGGCCGTCGAATTGAAGGGGTTAAGATTGTACTGATTCGAGAAGTACTCTCTCGGGAGACCGTTCGATAGTGCAACAGTTCAGGGGAAGAAGCTGTCTGAATGGAACTTCTTCCTTACCAATGGAATATGAATGGAATGAGAATGTTTGTGGTCTGGCGGTTACTAGCTATGAAGTTTTGGACTGGTGGAAACAAAGACTGTATTTCGCCCGAACATCTTCCGCAAAAATAACGATAACGAGTAACGAGAGGCTAGCCTGTGTGAAAGGAGTTGTAGGATGGGAAAGAGTTCATCACCTACAAGGCGGTGAAAACGCTTTTAAACTTGGTCGAAGTTGAAGAGTACGGATTGGGCAGGTACCACCTAGATGTGGTACCAATACTCTATTTTAGGTTTGATCTGATTCTTGAAAATTAAAGCATTGTAGGAGAAATTAGGTACTTTTAGGAGCCTATAGTTGGGGTGGATCGTATACACGAGTTCGACTAGAAGTCTAGAGTCAGCTTCCCCTCCCAATAGGTGTTCAAAGCAATGAGTCACATTTATAATACAACTGTTCATGATAATTGGATACACACTGAAACATTGCTTGAGGGCTTCGTTTTCTACGGCTTATCAACTCTTTGCAGATTATTTAAATCCAGAAATGTTTTTAGATTGTAAGAATATTTTTTGAGATAATAACGATTTAGTAATACATTTCTTACTAATTAACCCATAGCTGGGGGAGAAGAGGTGGATTTATACCTTTCCTAACAGTATTTGCGTGTAACTGAATATAACGAACTCGACGGGAATTTCTACTCGGCCTTCCAATAAACAATCCTGAGCCATTATCCTGTACACCACCCACACATACTAACTTACAGCACTTGCTTTTCCCAATCAGTCACCCATCCAGGTACTAAGCAGGCACGATTTTGCATAACTTCGGAGATCGGACGGGAATCGGTGTTTTGACGTGATGTGGGCGTAAATCTATGAATTAACAAGAATTATAGTAACGTTTAAAATAAAGCAGGCATTCCTGAAAATCTGAATTTTGCATTTTCCCTACGAAATTTTGAAGAAGAGCTAAAAAAAAGTGACGTGGAAACTAGTTGATCCTTACAAAGCACTTTGAACATCAGGAAAAATAAGTTTTTTTTACACCCATTAATTATTGTGAAGCTTGCATGGTAATCAAATATTTTATACGAGTAAAAATCTATAGCAGTAAAGATTGAGAAAAAAATATAAAATCAAAACAGCCGTAAATGTGTTCTTGAAGAGTAGCGAAAGTAAAATGAAATGTCAGATCAATAAACAAAAACTGAAAGAAATTTAAAACCCATACACACACAATGCCTGTCATGTGAGTGTTTACGGATATCAGTACATCCGGAAAAGCACAAGTCATATAAGTTTTCAGAAGGCTGTGTATTTTGTCCGGAAGCCGGTGGTTCAACGTGATGTGCCTAAAAGAGGATCTTTTTTAATCTTATTTTTATCTATTGTCGTATTTTTATTTTGCCACGTGTACCCATTTTTTCCATAGATGTTGCTTCTTGTTAGCTGACACTTTTTAATGTTTTTGTGCGCATGCGCGAGCTTGTATGTATGTCTATGGAATTCACGTAGGTTTCATTTTAGTGGGGCTTTCATATAAAATGGCATTTCTTCGTATTAGCAAATATTTCTCGGACATCCAGTGAATTTACTAAAGACGAAAGTTGCCGTCTATGATTCAAGAGTTGACTCTACTCGTAAATAAATACCAGGGAGGAATACACTTGTTGCGTAAGGCAAGCGAAGAGTTGAGAATCAGCTGGAAATCTATCGCCATTTTGAAAGAATCTGGTGACAGAGATAACACCAACGCACTAATAAGGCCGCTGGAGGGGTTTTTTTTAGGATCAAGACAAGAAAAGGTTTCTTATTCTCATGTTGAATTATGATTGATGAGCGAATATAGAATTGGGATTCACGCGTAAAAAGCAAATATTGGTTTGTTTTGAACAAAGGGTGCAGCAAGTTTTATAGACGATATCGAATTCACATGTGATACGCAAAGGAAATTACCCGTTTTTGTTCAGGTGATTTTGTATTAGCTTATCTTTCCAGTTTGTGCAATTGATTTCCGATGCATGGAAGTGAGAGACGGTTAATATATATATATATATATATATATATATATATATATATATATATATATATAAAAGACATTTTATGTTTATACATTCATTTTTATAGATACAAATATTTAAGTAAATGCTCTGTTTATAATAAACAGTATTAAACAACATTTACCGGCCTGAATGTCCGAGAAAATACTGTTTATTATAAACAAAGCATGTATAAACATAAAAAATGTGCGACGTCATTTGTTTACATTTGGATACGCATCGAGCAGATATGAATGTACGTGAGAAAATTGTGGAAAATTTTATTTTAAAAACAGTAAAATCGACCTTGCTAACCGAAACGCTCCTCTGTGGCGAAATCGGTAAAAGCACGTCAGGCTACATGACGTTTCTGTATAGGATGCAGGTTCAATTCCTGTCGAAGGACGCATATTTTCTATGACAATTTCTCGGACATTCAGGCCGGTAAATGTTGATAACTCTGTTTATTATAAACAGAGCGTTTAGTTAAATATTTGTATCTATAAAAAAAGCATGTATAAACATAAAATGTCTTAAAGTAATTGTCGGACTTTGTCCATTTCATGAAATATATATATATATATATATATATATATATATATATATATATATATATATGTGTGTGTGTGTGTGTGTGTGTGTGTGTGTTTGTGTTTTTTTTTAAAAGTATGTATTTAAAAACAAGAATAGTTAAAGAAATATTATATCGAGAGCTGGATACAGGAAGCTGAAAGAAATATGAGGTCAGCAATTGTAAAATGCCAAGGCCAATAGTGAAGCGCTTTCGAGACTGTCAAGAGCTTCTTTGACAAGATGATTTGACATCTGCTAGTATGTAATTGGAATTATAGCTGGGAGTGGGGGAGAATATGGTTATCAGTGTCGAAGTCAGAGGAAAGGTGGAATGTCAGAGCCAGCGACAATGAAAAGAACCAGAAACAGCCTGAGAGGAGGCACGAACGATAGCCATTACCAAGATGCAAAGCTGGCCAGAATGAATCTCTGCAATGCAAAAGTTTGAGCCACTGTCGAAGAAACGGTCAGCTAGCGACAGTTAAAGAGAAAAAAGGAAGCAACTGGCAGGAGGAAGAAAAAAGGAGAGACAGAGAAAAAGAAGGTGTGACAACCATAGAGAGGAAGAGCGATGTAAAGGGGGGAAAAAGAGCGGCAAAGAGAAACGAACGAACGACAACCAGAGAGAAGGAGCAGTGACATGCAGAAAGAAGGAGATATAGAGGGACAGAAACGAACGAGCCACTGACAGAGAGAGAAAACAACTAGAGGAGAAAAGAAACTAGAATGCAAATAAATACAACATACACCTGAAAAAATTACTCAAGTCCCTAAAGAACTAGTGTCCACGAAATTTTACACTTATTCTGATCTATGATTTTGATATCGTGTGGTTTGCCAATGCAGCTCTTACAGTGCATAGAACTTAGCGAATATCTGTACAATGTAATTGTCTGGAATCTAATCTACATGCGTAGGAATTATACCACTATCATAGTGTTGCAGAGTAGTTTTCACAGTGGAGGCTTGTATTTCACTAAGTCGGTCCTAAATTAGGTTCGACGTACAAAACGTTAGGAACTTGAAATAATAGTTAATGACGCAGCAATCTAGTTGCGGGGCTCATACTTTAATGTCCGACATCGACTGACTCACACAACACACCCTGAGCCCCACTGGCGACTGCTACTACTACTACGTATCTGTGGGAAAGTCTATTTACAATAGAAATAGGTACGTTCCAGTATAACACATAGTAAACATTACCGACGTCTCACAGGCGTGGCAATTTGTCGAAATGTTCATCCAGTCTGTCTGCATTTCACAATTCGATCTCTTTAAACTTAAATTTTAATTAAACAAAAGAAACACATATGCATCATTGTTGCCTGGCACCTCTTTCAACACTCTTAAACTTTTTGAAGTATGCGTCAATTATCTAAAACTCAAATTCAGTTGACGTACTTGTGTGTGCATCCCCTGAATTCTAGTTTTAGACAATGGGTTGTCAGTAAAAGGAAGAGCCCAATATGAGAATTACAAATTGAAGATACCAAAACCAAGCAAATGCATAACACTAAATATCGCGGAAGTGTTTTAACAGAGGACAGTGTGACACAAAATCCGAAGGGGCATTTCGATAGCGAAATATCTTTTCCAAAAGTTAAGCAAAGTATTAAGAAACAGGAAAATTTCCTTAAAACCAAATAAAAGGTTACTGGGCTGTTAATATCGGTTTTCTTATATAGCAATAAATGCTGAACAATCCCCTCAAAGATGAAGAAAAGTCTTGAAACAACAGAAATGTGATTATGCAGAAGGGAGCTAAGAATACTAAACGTGTGAGTAATAACGTAGTTTTAGAGTAAATAGAAACAAAAAAGACTCTTATAATTAACATCAGAAAGAGACAGCTGAAATTTCTAGAGTACATCAAGAGGAAAGAGGGCTTGAAAAATTTGACACTCCCAGGATAGATTGAAAGCACGGGGGGTGACAGAGGAAATCAGCTTAACTAACCTTTTTTTTTTTGGTAAATGTTTTGTAAAATGCTTGACAGAACAAGACTTAGGAGAAATAAGAAAAAGAAAAAAATTTCTAAGACCCACAAAGGACAGGAACTTGTGGAGAACCATAATTGCCCACGTTCCGAAGGGACACGGCACATCGAAGATTTTAGTTTGCTTCATCACAAGCTATTCGAAGACTTTAACATTTTTATTAGAATGTTTATTAATATGCATATACGGTATGCAAATCAAACTGAGTATTTGCTATTGAAATTTTATTACGGTGTTTGGATAGCAATTACGTATTTGAAAACTCTGAATCAACTAACAAATGTAGAATCAAATTTGAATTTTCCCAAAATGCCTATTAGTTTATTAATTTATCATCTCTTCTATCCGATACTGTGCTGTCTATATAGTGCATTTCAATTGTTTTTTAAGCGATGTTCACGCTGTATAAAGCCTAAGTGTCACTCAAGTTAGAAGGTTACAGTGTAAGAGGCAAAATAGAAATTTGGGCTGCTCGTGAGGTTACCCTTAAAAACAAAACACAACGTTTCTCCGTCTTCAGCATTCACTGAAACTTTCATCTTAACATCGCATTGTTAGAGATGATGAAAAATGTGTTTTGCATCTCAACAGAAAACAAAAATATCAGTGGTTATTAAAAAAAATGATAAACCAGTGCGTAAAACAAAAACCGGAAACTCTATCCACATAATTCTTTGCCTTGTGTCTGGTGGAATAGGAAAGATATTGTCCATGACGATCTAGTGGAATCTGGAAGGAACATCACTGCGGCCACTTATTGTCAGCCACTTGATCCGGTAAAGGAATAATTAGTTAGCAGAAAAGGTATTATTCTACAGGATGGCAATGTAATACTATACGCTGCAAAATAAATTCATTAAAAATATGAGATCGAAGAATTGGTGTTTCTTGCATACTCCAAACTCACCAGATTCAGTTCCTCCAGATTTCGATCACAAGAAAATTTCCACAGTGGCAGAACATTCAGGAAGACGAAAAAGCTGAAAAGTTTTTCCAAACATGTTTGTCAAAATCCATATTTCAATCAAAGGTTTGCGTTCCCTTTGGTCTGTCGTCGTTGAAAATCAACACAATTAGATTTTCGATAAATAATATTGAAAGAAATTTAACTTACATTTGTTTTGTTTTCTTTTATACCCTTTCCCTAAAACGTAATTAATTTCGGAAAGTGTATACGAAACGTTTAATAGAAAACATAACGAATATAAGGAACTGACATATATATATATATATATATATATATATATATATATATATA